CTGAGAGTCACGTGACGTCCGGAGCTCTATGGCTGTGTCTCAATTCAGGGTCTGCATCCTACGTCGGCCGGATTCGTCGTCCGGTTACGTCACAGCGCCGCGACTAGGCCTGTCCCAATTCGAAGACTCCTTCAGATGCGGTCGACGAATGCGGCCTTCTTTTCGCCTGAATGAAGGATGGGTCCGGTGTATCCTTCAATGGGTAGCATTTCCCAAGATGCCTTGCGGGCCGGCCGGCAGAAAAACTTAAAAACAATGGCGGACAGTGAAGCGGGAGCTGTCGGAGAGGATTGCGCATATAAATGTCAGTATAAACTTGAAAACTGTTAGGTTAAGGACTTTTTGTGATACATGAACGTTATTTTAGTTAGAAATGTAACAGTAAAAGTGCTTGTATTGCGGTCTCGGCTCGTATGTTCGGCCGCGCTCGGTGTCGTACTTCTCCCGCTACGTTTCCCCCTGATTTTAATAGAAGTTTGTATTTTAGGAACAAAAGAGAAAACCAGGGAATTTATTAAGCTTAGGGCGGAGATGAACCACATGATCACCGGAGCAAAGTATTCGGCGGCTGTGGCATGGAGGTACAATAACATCTCATATTTTAAAAAACTCGTTTGAGTTTATTTTTTTCTGCGAAAACATGAAAGGAATAACCCGTTGTCCTCTTTTCTCTATCTGTTTTTTTCTTACATGTTTGTTAAGACTATTCTGGAGAAAATGGGCATCCAGGGGAAGGTGCCAGCGATGACCAGCTTCTGGAGCTGATCAGGGAGGACTTGAGGCTGCAGAGGGAGGCAGAGCAGCAGAGGGCACAGGAGAGAAGGAAGAACTTTGACAGCTTTTTACTTTGCTAGAAAAAAATGGTTAAGGAAGATTAAACATGTACATATAAAAGAAATATCTAAATAAAATCAGTTCTGGATTAAACTCTTGAATTTTAATTGTTTACAAATGAGAATTGTTTACTAGAGGGTATCCGCTGGGTCTTGAAAAGTCTTAAAAGGTGATAAATCGGTTTTGGTCAAATTAAGACCCTTAGAAAGTATTAAAAACCATTATCACATCTTTGCTCAGGCTCAGCTTGTTTAAAGTATTTTCTCTGAAGTAGCTCTCCAACAGTCAAGGAAATGATTAACCCCCAGAGACCCACGGTTGTAATATTACAACATCAGATTTAAGTCTACAAAAATAAACCTTCCCCATTTTTTTTTCTTTTTAAAACCACATTTACATTGCTAATAGGTCCTATTGTTCAGTTCTGCAACACTATTGGCTGTTAAAATGTGTAAATAGGCCCGTTTATCTGGCCTCCTAGAACAACATGTGAAAGGTTAAAAAAAGATTTTGCAGTTGTTTTCTAAATTTGGGTTTCTGGGGGTTAAAAAGCTAAATAAAACGTCGAGCTCCATCGTTTAAAGTTCCTTCTCCCTTCTGTCCAGCGGTTCCACGGTTGCTAGGCAACGGAACGTTCGCCGAGGGAGTTCATGAAGGCTAGGCCTGTCCAAATTCACAGCCGTTAACATCCGGTCTACCCGGCCGACGGAGGACGCAGCCCACGTCGGCCGGGTGGGCTGGGTCCTTCGAAGGATGCAGACCCTGAATTGAGACACAGCCTATATCGATATTTTTAAAATATCGGTATAATTTTAAAACATGATATAAAGTGACTTTATATCGATATAACTGGTCAAACTGCATGGTGGTGCAGTGGTTAGCACTGTTGCCTCGCAGCACGAAGGTTGCAGGTTCGAAACTCGGCTCGGCTGCAGCGTTTCTGCGTGGAGTCGCTTGTTCTCCCCATGCATGCGTGGGTTTCCTCCGGGTACTCCGGTTTCCCCCACAGATCACAACATGCCCTATAGGTTATAAATTTTAAGTCGCTTTGGATAAAAGCGTTGGCTAAATGAATAAACACAAACATAAACAAACTGCTATGCTAGCGATTAGCCGCTATGCTAGCGACATGTTGCTCCGTCTCTAAGCGGCTATTACATGTATTCTTACAAGTTTGCTCAATCTGAGAGCCTCTGGGTAAATGTGCTGCTCTAAACTTTGCATTTGGCATCCTGGTTTTTAATTATTTGGGGACGTTCAACGTCAACGGAGTTCTGTTTTCCATCCTGCTTGTATGGAGAGACTAGTGATGTGACGTTCACGAACAAATCGAATATTTTGAACAGGTTTTCAAAGTGAATGATGAGAGCCGAGTCCCTGTAGAGAGCCATTCATCTTAACAAACCTCCCCGGAAGTCGGTCAAACTCACCCTCTCAAACCTCACCCACCGCTGTGACGGACGTAGGAGGAACCATAGAAACGTGTTTATACAGGGAGTGCAGAATTATTAGGCAAATGAGTATTTTGTCCACATCATCCTCTTCATGCATGTTGTCTTACTCCAAGCTGTATAGGCTCGAAAGCCTACTACCAATTAAGCATATTAGGTGATGTGCATCTCTGTAATGAGAAGGGGTGTGGTCTAATGACATCAACACCCTATATCAGGTGTGCATAATTATTAGGCAACTTCCTTTCCTTTGGCAAAATGGGTCAAAAGAAGGACTTGACAGGCTCAGAAAAGTCAAAAATAGTGAGATATCTTGCAGAGGGATGCAGCAGTCTTAAAATTGCAAAGCTTCTGAAGCGTGATCATCGAACAATCAAGCATTTCATTCAAAATAGTCAACAGGGACGCAAGAAGCGTGTGGACAAACCAAGGGGCAAAATAACTGCCCATGAACTGAGAAAAGTCAAGCGTGCAGCTGCCAAGATGCCACTTGCCACCAGTTTGGCCATATTTCAGAGCTGCAACACCACTGGAGTGCCCAAACGCACAAGGTGTGCAATACTCGGAGACATGGCCATGGTAAGAAAGGCTGAAAGACGACCACCACTGAACAAGACACAAAAGCTGAGATGTCAAGACTGGGCCAAGAAATATCTTGACTGATTTTTCTAAGGTTTTATGGACTGATGAAATGAGAGTGAGTCTTGATGGGCCAGATGGATGGGCCTGTGGCTGGATTGGTAAAGGGCAGAGAGCTACAGTCCGACTCAGACACCAGCAAGGTGGAGGTGGAGTACTGGTTTGGGCTGGTATCATCAAAGATGAGCTTGTGGGGCCTTTTCGGGTTGAGGATGGAGTCAAGCTCAACTCCCAGTCCTACTGCCAGTTTCTGGAAGACTCCTTCTCCAAGCAGTGGTACAGGAAGAAGTCTGCATCCTTCAAGAAAAACATGATTTTCATGCAGGACAATGCTCCATCACATGTGTCCAAGTACTCCACAGCGTGGCTGGCAAGAAAGGGTATAAAAGAAGAAAAACTAATGGCATGGCCTCCTTGTTCACCTGATCTGAACCCCATTGAGAACCTGTGATCCATCATCAAATGTGAGATTTACAAGGAGGGAAAACAGTACACCTCTCTGAACAGTGTCTGGGAGGCTGTGGTTGCTGCTGCACGCAATGTTGATGGTGAACAGATCAAAACACTGACAGAATCCATGGATGGCAGGCTTTTGAGTGTCCTTGCAAAGAAAGGTGGCTATACTGGTCGCTAATTTGTTTTTGTACTGTTTTTGAATGTGAGAAATGTATATTTGTGAATGTGGAGATGTTATATTGGTTTCACTGGTAAAAATAAATAATTGAAATGGGTATACATTTGTTTTTTGTTAAGTTGCCTAATAATTATGCACAGTAATAGTCACCTGCACACAGAGATATCCCCCTAAATTCAATTCAAATTCAATTCAAAGATACTTTATTAATCCCAGAGGGAAATTAGAGTTTCAGTACACACAATTCAGAGATCAGACATACATGGGCAAGACACACGACAAGAATTGGTGACTGTGGTCATTTGCAACCCTGAGTCGCGCTACCATTGATCGAGATAAGAGGGTAACATGAGGAATTGATTCGGGAGGAGGGAAAAAAAGGCACTTCATAGCTACTCTCCCACCAGGAGGGCAGCTTTGCTCTGCAAAAAACCCCACCTCAGACAGATAAGCAACAGACTTCAGATGACACAACATAGAGACTCCGATAGGAAGGCGGGTGGGGTGGGGGGGGGGGGGGGGGATCTGGAATCCTGTTTCCCCTGCAAGAGCAGCCATGTACGGCACTCAGCCACTGTCACCACAGGTGGGAGGGAGTTCTCGGGAGAAGCGCAGAGCACATTGACTCCTGCAGGTTAGGGTTGCCTAATAATTCTGCACTCCCTGTATACATATCTTGGGAGGAATGCTAACCAACCCTGTGCGCCCTCACGGACACCGTGTAAATATTTTACAGGAGGAAAAATGTCGATACATATCATATATCGGAATTCTGCTAAAAGATATTGAGATATAAGTTTTGGTCCATATTGCCCAGCCCTAATCTGGACCATTATTAAAGCTGTTTTAAAAGTGGACGTTTTTGTCACCTAATGGCTCGAGTGTATAGTACATTTTAAATCTGTTGCTATATAAAAAGTATAAGTGCAAAAAATTCAAAATTTTAGATATTTCATAATATAATAAAGACTGATTTGTACTAAACACCCCAGGCCAAAAAAAATGTCTTTTTTAGAAAATAACTCCTTTTTAGTGTTTTTTATTTCTTTTTTTTTTTCATAAATTACATCAATGACTTTGAGTATTCCAACTGACATTTCAGGGATTAAAAGCCTCAAAATGATTGGATTTTTTTATGTTTGAGCAGGGCTGAAGCTGTTCAACAGATCTATGAAAAAAGTAAAAAAAAAAAATACATTAATGTATACATTTTTATAGCCACTTTTACAAGCAGACATTTTTGTCCTCAAATGACTCTTTTGCATGAAAATTAAAGTGAAGCCTGAGGGTTAAGACTCATGATTTATAGAGGCTCAAAGTTCAGTTTCCAGTTGTAAATACATTTCATTCTACTGTCAGTTTAAAGAAATAATACAACTGTTCTATGTGTGAAAACAAAGTGACAGCTGTCTGTAATTCACATGTTTCTGTGTTTCCTACAGATTTTCAACAGGTGGTTCTGGTTAAATAAGAAGCTTAAGAAGAAGAGAGTGCTCGTGTCAACCACCAGCACCTAGATTTTCTCCACAAAAAGGAGGAACAGGAGAAACTCTGGTCTAATATGGAGGGAGAGCATCTCTATTTGAATAAGGAGACTGATGCTGCCAGGTTTCAATCCTTTAGCCATAAAATACATTTAAACAAACACATGAGAGTCCACACAAAGCAGAAACATTTTGCCTGTGAGCACTCCGGACAACGGTTTCATCAAAAGACTGATTTAACCACACACATGAGAGTCCACACAGGACAGACATATTTTGCTTGTGAACTCTGTGGAAACAGATTTAACCAAAAGTCAAATTTAAATCTTCACATGAGAGTCCACACGGGACAGACGCATTTTGCTTGTGAGCTCTGTGGAAAAAGATTTAGCCATCAGACAAATTTAAATAATCACATGAGTGTCCACACAGGACAGAAGCCTTTTGTTTGTGAGCTCTGTGAAAAGAAATTTAGCTCAAAGTCAACTTTAAACAAACACACGAAAGTTCACACAGGACAGAAGCCCTTTCCTTGTGAGCTCTGTGGACAAAGATTTAGCCGAAAGACTAATTTAAATAGGCACATGATAGTCCACACTGGAGAGAAGCCTTTTGTCTGTGAGCTCTGTGGACAAAGATTTAGCCAAAAGACAATTTTAAATATTCACATTAGAGTCCACACAGGACAGAAGCATTTTGCTTGTGAGCTCTGTGGAAAGAAATTTAACTTAAAGTCAACTTTAAACAGACACCTGAGAGTCCACACAGGACAGAAGCCTTTCTCCTGTGAGCTCTGTGGAAAAAGATTTAGCCATCAGACAACTTTAAATAATCACATGAGAGTCCACACAGGACAGAAGCCTTTCACCTGTGAGTTCTGTAGCAAAAGATTTAGCGAAAAGAACAATTTAAACCGTCACATTAGAGTCCACACAGGACAGAAGCCCTTTGCCTGTGAGCTCTGTGTAAAAAGATTTAGCCAAAAGACAAATTTAAACAGACACTTGAGAGTCCACACAATGCAGAAACATTTTGCCTGTGAGCACTGTGGACAAAGGTTTCACCAAAAGACTAATTTAACCACACACATGAGAGTCCACACAGGACAGACATGTTTTGCTTGTGAACTCTGTGGAAAGAAATTTAGCTTAAAGTCAAATTTAAACAGACACATGAGTGTCCACACAGGACAGAAGCCTTTTACTTGTGAGCTCTGTGGAAAGAAATTTAGCTTAAAGTCAACTTTAAACAGACACATGAGCGTCCACACAGGAGAGAAGCCTTTTGTTTGTGAGCTCTGTGGAAAGAAATTTAGCTTAAAGTTGACTTTAAACAGACACATGAGTGTCCACACAGGACAGAAGCCTTTTGCTTGTGAGCTCTGTGGAAAGAAATTTAGCTCAAAGTACACTTTAAACAAACACACGAAAGTTCACACAGGACAGAAACCCTTTCCTTGTGAGCTCTGTGGAACGAGATTTAGCCAAAAGACACAATTAAACAGTCACATGATAGTCCACACTTTAGAGAAGCCTTTTGCCTGTGAGTTCTGTGGAAACAGATTTAGCCGAAAGACTAGTTTAAACATTCACATGAGAGTCCACACAGGACAGAAGCATTTTGCTTGTGAGCGTTGTGGAAAGAAGTTTAGCTTAAAGTCAACTTTAAACAGACACATGAGAGTCCACACAGGACAGATGCCTTTCGCCTGTGAGCTCTGTGGAAAAAGATTTAGGCATCAGGCAACTTTAAATAATCACATGAGAGTCCACACAGGACAGAAGCCTTTCGCCTGTGAGTTCTGTAGCAAAAGATTTAGCGAAAAGGTAAATTTAAACTGTCACATGAGAGTCCACACAGGACAGAAGCCTTTCGCCTGTGAGCTCTGTGGAAAAAGATTTAGCCGAAAGACAAGTTTAAACAGACACATGAGAGTCCACACAGGACAGAAGCATTTTGCTTGTGAGCATTGTGGAAAGAAGTTTAGCTTAAAGTCAACTTTAAACAGACACATGAGAGTCCACACAGGACAGAAGCCTTTCGCCTGTGAGCTCTGTGGAAAAAGATTTAGCCAAAAGACAAGTTTAAACAGACACATGAGAGTCCACACAGGACAGAAGCATTTTGCTTGTGAGTATTGTGGAAAGAAGTTTAGCTTAAAGTCAAATTTAAACAGACACATGAGAGTCCATACAGGACAGAAGCCTTTCGCATGTGAGCTCTGTGGAAAAAGATTTAGCCAAAAGACAAGTTTAAACAGACACATGAGAGTCCACACAGGACAGAAGCATTTTGCTTGTGAGCATTGTGGAAAGAAGTTTAGCTTAAAGTCAAATTTAAACAGACACATGAGATTCCACACAGGACAGAAGCCTTTCGCCTGTGAGCTCTGTGGAAAAAGATTTAGCCAAAAGACAAGTTTAAACAGACACATGAGAGTCCACACTGGCTTTTCGCCTGTGAGTTAGGTGGAAAAGGTTTACCCAAAAGATCAATTTAAATAGTCACAAAAGAGTCCATAATGGACAGAAGCAATTTGCTTGTGAGCTCTGTGGACGAAGATTTCACTGAAAGAATATTTAAACAATCATCTAAGCATCCACTAGGGCTGTACGATCTATTGCAGGGGTCTCCAACCTTTTTTGGCCTGTGAGCTACTTTTACATAATAAAAGTGCAGCAGAGTTACTGCCATATGATTTATTTACATTGATACTTTCCATGTGTGAATGTGCTTATGTTAACAATGCTATACTTACTATATTAACAAGCATTGTACTCACAAGTTGTTTTCTCTGTATTTCAGTACATCATTATATACATATTTTTAAAAGTATTAGTAAACTAGTGACATTCTGAAAACCAAATAGAACAAAACATATTTAGTTTTTTAAACTAATCAAATACTTTTAGATAAATAATAACAAATCTACTTCATGTGAATGATTTGGTAATTTTTTTAGAAGGTTAGTAACATAACTTTTTAAGTACACAGGAACAGCTAACCTGTAAAGCTGATGATATTTTAAATAAAATACAAGCTAAATGTGATGAAAACACTGCTCTCCTGATTCACTGAATAATTTTTACGTTTTTATTTATTTATTTATTTATTTGGTCATGAAAGTTAACTTTTGCTGCATTTATTGCTGACAATATGAAGGTTGGAGGTTTATCCTTTTTTTCTGCATCTTGTAGGTTTTCTTTCTCCGCAGGTCTGAAGGCTGTGCGTTACACAGAGCAGAGAGACAGAGCAAGAGACCAGAACCAAAAGAAATGTTCACGTCACACCAATCTTAAAATATTTACATTGGCATTCAGTAGCTTACAGGATTTATTTCAAAGACCTTTTACTTACTTTTAAATCATTAAATGGGCAACGACCTCTGTATATAGCAGAGATGTTTGAAACGTATCACCCTTCAAAATCACTTGGGTCAGCAGTTAAATCCACACTGGTACAACCCAGAGCCCGCACCAAGCATGGCATAGCAGCTGCCTTTAGCTGCTATGCGGTCCATCTCTGGAACTGTCTTCCAATAGACATTAAGACCTCTCCCACCATTTCCATTTTTAAATCCAGATTTAAAACTAAACTTTTTCATGATGCCTTCCATTAATCTATCCTTGCCTCTGTGCTCTACTAGGTCTTTATCTGTACTGTGTTAAATTTATTCTATATGTATTTTATATGTATACATATTCTGTGCAGTTTTATTGTGTATTGTGTAATTACAGTGAATACTTGTAATAAAGTGTAGTTATTGTGTAAAGCAGTGTATCCTAGGAATGATTAATAAAAAAAACTAGAATTGAACCTGATTTACATGGTAATAACAGTTTAAGAACTCAGAAACAATACACTATCTTTCTAAGTAATTATCATGTAAGTACTAAGTAATTAGAGGACTTTAAAAGAAAGCACTATCAATAATTTTACTTAATGTGCTTTTATTTTTGTGTGCTATGTTCTGTGTCAATATTCTTTTATTTTATTTTACACAGCATGATGTGACATTTTAACTATTTTGTTTCACTTGTGATTGTTTTAACTATGTGAAGAACACTGGGCTACCGTTTTGTGTATGAAATGGACTATATAATAAACTTGACTTGAGAGTTCACAATCATGTTTTGTTACTAAATGAGACACTCAGCTGAAACTGGGGGAAATATGTGATGAATCTAAATAATAGGAGATGTCCAGAGCTTTTAAAGCCCGTGTTCATCATGTTGTGGAGGGCCACACAGAGGCTACGCTCACACCCAGTTCTTTGGACTGTTTGTATGTAGATGTAGCAGGACTGGTTGGCGTCTCAACCAGTTGATCGCTCAGCCTATCACACATATGAATCAAACCAGTCCACCATTAAAACATATTACAGATGATAATAATTCTACTGCTTGTACTATAAGATTAATGCACACAATTTAATTTAAGACATTTAACTGCATGTGTGCGTGTGTGTTTGCACTGAATGTGTTTGTGCACATGGTTCACGCGTGCGACCATCAAGAACAAAGTAGAAATTTACCGAAAGAAAGTGAATTGACTACATATTAATTTGGTACAAGTGTGAACCTAGAGCCCCATGACTGTTATTATTTTAGGTACGGAGAGTGATCACGCTAGATCAAACAATGAGCTGAGACAATGTCTTCCTCCAAACTTGAGTTTATTGACAAACAATGCATAAAACAAGTTCTATATAAAAAAAATGGAACAAGACAGTTAAAAAAAAACCAGAGGTGACTAATGACACCTTATGCTGGAGGAGGGCGGCAAAACAACCAGTGCTGTGTAACATGCATTTACTTATACACACGGCAATCATGCAAACAAGAAAAAGAATAAAAACATGCACTATTAACTGGTAATACGGCTGAGCCCTCTCACGTATGCGACCCTCCACAGCCAACCTTCTAGTCGTCACAGACCCCCTTTCTAAAAGTGACTCACAATGAAAACGTTAGGAGTTTCATAAAAGGAAAAACAAGTATAACAAAAAAATCAACTGAACAAAAACAGCAGTGCCAGCGCTTTCTGTTAAAAGGAAGGAAATAATTATTAAACTGCCAATTTCCTTCCTTTTCAATTAATCAGCACACTGTTATATTTCATGGAAAGGGCTCACAGACAACGGGTAATCGGCACATCCTCACCACTGATCCTACAGCGCATTTACTTAAACACACAGACACACACACACACACACACACACACACACACACACACACACACACACAGCATAAAGCCCCAGCCCTTCCAAACAGTTGTATAAAAACTAAAAACATCCCTTACCCGTAAAAATAATCCTCCATGCACCCAGTGTACAGCTCAGACACACTACCCCACCTGTCTGTCAGGACACCAGGTAAATGCTCTCGTGCAGCTGGACACAATCAGGGCTTTTAAAGAGCTGACATAATTACACGGGGAGGAGGAGCGCAGCGCTCATAGAGATCAAACGGCCATCCGTCACACAAGCATGCTCGTCCTCTGCGGCTTTTGCTCTGTGATTTAATCCCAAAATGGACAATTTCCTTCCGTCATATCAAGAGAAGAAATAAAACACTTTCTAACGCCTTAAGACTGTTTTATTTACGTGTTCAGTTTTGGCGTGGTGTGCTAGTGGCAGCAGGAGTTTCCAGGATGTAGTCCTGTCTGTTTCTAAATAAACAAACATGATTTGGAACAGAAAAGATGCAGAAATCCAGCAAGGGGCGTAGCTCACCAAGCGCAGATCTCACATTAGTTCCGTAGGAACCACAGAAAATCCCAGCCTCAGAGCAGGAGCTAAAATGGTTCTAGGAACTACGGTTAAAGGTTCCTAGTTCCTTTCCGTCCAACGTGCGCAAAAGGGGACTGGAAAGGTCCTAGGAACTACAAAAGGTTCCTACAGTCCGAATGTGCCTTATGAGGCGACACACAGCAATTTAATAAAATAATGTGGTTCAGAGTCTCCAAAAGCCACACATGCCTGCCTTTGTTTATCTTATTGTCATGCTGACCTGGCAGAGGTCAACTGTCTCCTCCTCATGCTGATTCTGCTACACAGTGTCTGCACATGAGCTGTGCATGCAATCTTCACACTGGCCAGAGGGGGCTTGTGAACTCTGGTGTGTGCTCCTCCAGGTGAGCCAAATCAGGAAATCAAGAGCTCACCACTAGTGGCTTCTTCATGCATGCAGCAGTCATTCAACCAGGGTGTGACAAAACTGAGATGGCAAGCAAACAATTCAGCTGTGAGGAGGACTTTGATCTTGACAGGCTATCGGTAAGCTCTTGGGATGATTCACATGGACCTTTTTCTGAGCTAAGTTTTGTGGCAAACAACTGTTAGGAGGAAGTTTTGGTTTTTCTTTAAGTTTATCAGAAAATATGGGTAGGTGGTGTAGTCAACAGTTTTAAAGTCCCCACTTTGTGTGGCTCGACCAAGCAACAGGTTGTTCGGCGTGATGTACTGGATGCGTTCTTCTCTGCTCTGAATTCTGACATCGATGGGTCTCTCATTTGCAAGGTTGGCAGCTAGCTGGAGCACTGTCAGGAACTCACTGAATGTAAGGCCTTCTACATTTCCAAGACTTTGAAGGGCTCTCTTGGTAACTCTAACAGCAGCTTCAGCAGTTCCATTTCGGTGAGGTGAGTCGGCGGGAAGGATCTTCCACATCCAGGTGGTCTCATTCTTGGCAGCATATTCTTCAAGGGATTCTTGATTTTGTTGTCTCAGGTAAGCATACATCTCTTTCAATACAGGTTTTGCGCCGACAAAGTTTGTGCCAGGATCTGACCAGATTCTTTGGGGATGCCCTCGGACAGCGGTGAACCTCATATAGGCAAACAGGAAGCTCTCTGTTGATAGTGTGTTTGCTAGTTCAACATGGATGGCTCGGCTAGCCATACAACAAAACACAACTCCCCATACTTTCATGTTTACCCTCTTTTTGACATCATCCTTCACATGATAAGGTCCAAACAGGTCAATGGATGTGAACTTGAATGGTGCAGCAGGATTAGACCTCTCTTCAGGTAAGTTTCCCATTATTTGCTTGCAGGTTCTTGCCTTTGTTTTCTTACACACAATGCACTTGTCAACAACTTTTTGAGCAATAATCCTTCCTTTAATGACCCACGCTTTCTTTCTCATCCGCAGTAAAGTCCCTGCTACTCCATCATGTCCCTCACTGTGTGCTTCTCTGGCAAGGAGGGTGGATAACCAGGCATGAAATGGTAAAAGGGGAACAGCTTTGCGGTCTTCTCTGAAGGTCTGGATTCTACCCCCACAAACTAGAAGTCCACTTGTTTGATCTCTGTAGACAACTAACCTGTCTGTTGTAGTGCTTGGGAAGTTAACACCCTCTTGTGCTGCTTGGCAAAGGTCTCGAAATGCATCTCGTCTCTCGTTGACTGTAAGGACACCCGAGGATGGAACTACCTCCCACCTGTCTTGACCTGTGGTATTGACATTTAGAAACTTTTTGGCAGCTCTCCAGATCCATGCCACAGTCCCAACCAGCCTTCTCAGGTTGCTGAAACGCCTTTCGTCGACTAGTTTTCGGGTTTCTACTCCTCCTGGTGGTCTTCTGGAACATACATAGGCTGGATCTTGAGCTGGTTTCAGCTGACTTCTTGTAAGTATCGCTACAAATGACTTTTTACAGATACTTGTTACTTTATCTCGAGCATGGGCAGCGATGTCTTTGGCAGATTTCTTTGGCCACTCATCATCAGGAAGTTGGAGAAACTTCGGACCAGACTGCCACTCGGAGTCGTCAGTTAAGGCATTTGGACTGGCCCCTCTGGTGATGATGTCCGCTATGTTTGCTGGTCCGGGGATCCATCACCAATCTTGGACATCAGTGCTACTCTGGATCTCGCCAACACGATTTGCGAAGAATGTCTGGAAGCCATAACTTTCACGTTGTATTGCGCCCAGGACCGTCTGGCTGTCGATGAGATGGTACCATTTCTTGACCTGAATACGACAGTGCTTCTGGAAGTAGGTCTTCAGGCGGGCTGCGAAGATGGCACCACACATCTCCGCTTTTACAGGATCACCTTTGTGGTCGAGAGGAGTCAGCTTGGCTTTGGATTCAACTAGTCTCACAACAGCACCACGACTGCAGCTCCAACGAAGGTACATCACTGCGCCATATGCATGTTCACTGCCATCAGAGAATGTGATTGCACTAGGTTCTGCACAGGGATCTGGTGGAGTCAGAGCTCTAGCAAAGCGAAGTTTGTTCAGATCGGCATACTCTTCCAGAACCTTTATGGCGTTTTCTCGGAGACCCACAGACAAGGCAGTATCCCATGTGTCTTCTAAGCAGTACTTTGTTTTGGCTTCTTGGAAAGCTCTTCTAACCAAGATGGCACCTTTCTGCTTGACAGGAGTCACAAGGCCAAGTGGGTCATACAGGCTGGAGACTTGGCTCAGCAGTTCTCGTCTGGTCAATGGATCAGGGGTTTGAGTTCTGACTTCTTCTCTTAGCAGATTTTGACCAAGGCGCATCTTTTTCTTTTTCTTAGAGAAGTTGACTGCAACCATGACATGGAGATCATCGTCTTCGATGGTGTAGCCAAGGCCAAGGGCTTTGTTGTCTTCTTCCGTCCGCTGGTTTGGCAGAATTATAGTCTTTGACTCTGTCATATTCATCTCACTTGTGGATTTTTTCCTCCCACTTTGATTGGAGTAGACCCAGGGCTTCATGTAGAATCCTCCAGCTCTCAGGATATACTCGATGTTGGCGGTAAGGCATTTCAGATGGTCTTGGTCATTGTGTGAAGTCAAGATATCATCGACATAAGCATCTTCTTCCAGCACACGTTTCTCTTCTTTGAAGTGACTGAATGAAGGCAAGTTTGCAGTCTCTCGCATGGCAATTTGGGCTATGCAACCAGCAGGTTTGTCTCCCATGTTAACTCTTGTTATGGCGTACTCTTCTATTTCTGACTCTTCTGTGTCACGCCACAAAAACCTGTGCAGGTGGACCTCTCGAGCTTCCAGCCAGACAGAGTTGTACATCTTGCGGATATCACCAAGGGCAGCAAAGACACCAGTCCGAAACCGTAGCAGGACAGCTCTGATTGGGTTCAGGACATCAGGACCTTTGATGAGGATGTCGT